CCCCCCAGGGCCCCCCCCCCGGGCCCCTGCCAGCCCAGCCAGGTCACCCTGCCCAGGTATCCAGAGATGCTTGTCCTGAGGGTGCAGCATGGCCCTGCCAGGCCTCTGAACAACTCTTATTTTATTCAGGAATGCAAAATATTTCACTTTACATCAAGCTTTTTTAAATGGACTTTTCATTCTGCAGGGATTCTGTTTCTACATTATATATTTTTTCAGTCCAGGAGAAGAGCTGAAACCAGAATCTTCAAATTCCTTGTGCTGCTCAAGTTCCATTTTACATTCAGCCTGAACAATTTCCAGGCTCTTTTCTTTGCAGAAACAAGCTCTGACTTTGTGTGTCCTGGCATGACAACGTGTGGAATGAATGCACATGTCATGGATCAGAACTGAATCCTTTCCTCTCCCTCCCAGTCTTCATGGAAAAAAAAATGTTCTAGCAGAGGATCCTCATCCTCTGGGCTGGAAAATAGTTGTGCAGAGTGGACATGGCATGGAGGCAAGGATCTGTTCCTGTGGCTCTGGAGTAAGATCTGAAGCACTGAGTCCCCTCTGCCAGCCCCAGAGCCTGCAGGGTTTGTAGCAGAACACTACAATCCATCCTACAACCTAACAAAACTCTTCCTTTGGGACAGAAAAGTAGCCCTGTGCTCGGGTCAGAGCACTGAGGGGTGTTGCTGTCATTTGGTTGTATTTTAATTTGAGGCTGTTTGTGTTTCTCAGGTGCTTGCCAAGATTTATGGGGTTGGTACTTGGAGGATACTGCAGTTGTCATGCTGGGGAGGTGGATGCCAGGCCCTCTGCTTTTCAGAGGCACAGCTGGCCTGGAAACCTGCACAGTTGGCACCTCAAACCCCATTCTTAATGCTGATTTAAGTGGCTTTTGTAGGCAAGTGAGAAATGATAGAAAGTAACCTCACACTCCAGGAGTTTGGCAGAGATCAAAGGATGTAGGTCGCTTCCTGCAAGGCTGCAAGGGAAAGAAGGGATTTACTTTCTTGCTTTCAAAGAGGAGAGATGGAAAGATCCTGTCCTGAAGATCAGCCTTTCCTCGAGCAGACAGTTCAGGCTTTCTACAGACAAGCCTGCAGTCTCCTGGCTTCGAGTGCTGAGGGGAGGATGCTGTGAAAACACAGGCTAAAAGCTCAGGACAAGGCTGTGTTGGTGGCTGGAGTCAAAATACTGACCACTGGTCTAATACAGGACTTGCTCAGCCCCACATTTTGTTGATCCAACCTCTGGGTCACCCTTGTCTTTAAGCTGTCTGGTTTGAGCAGTGGCCAGATCAACATCATCTCCCAGTCCAGCCCATCTCTGACCTCCCAAAACCATTCTCACCTAAGATCTTCAGGGTTGGGTTTTGTAGCCCAGAGCAAAAAGGAAATAACATTTCTCCTCAAAACATCTCACTGCTGCAGAAGCTTGGCTGGACTCTTTCAGGTCACTTCCACTTCAGTTCCTCTGTGGTGTCTTCTTTTTTTGGGGTTTGGTCACCTTCTGTTCTGGGAACTCTGCGTTTAATGACTCGGATCTTTTTCCAGGTTTTCCTTTTCAGGCTCTTTTTCTTGGGAGTAGTCCAAGGCAATCCTGGAAAAGCCTGGTAATTTGGTCAGCCCCTTCATTACCTAGAGCTGCTGCGGGTAACACTTGCTTGGTGTAATTAACTCCTTGAAATCATGTAGCAAAGAGCATGAACTGAGCAGCTCCAGGGGCCGTTCTCTGGCAGGATTCACCAGCTGTTGCTTTCTGTGGTGTGCTGGGGATGCTGAGCTCTGGGTTAAGCCAAAGGACCCCAGGACAGAGTCTAAAAATTGAAGAGGCTGTAAAATAAGACAAAATCAGTGATTTATGGGTTTTTTTTTCCCCCTGAATAGCCTTTGTTGAGATCAAATTGCCTTGGAGGAGAAGGGATGGCTCTGAAATATCACTGGATTGGCACTCGCTTGGTCCTTGTCTTATTGACAAGGGAGACCAAACCTTCCCCTTCCTCTCCCTTTGTGCCTGTTTGATGTTGAAGTGATCTGCTCGCCCCAGCATAGCCTCAATTCAGTCTGAACCGAGTTATGTCAAAGAAATAAGAACCATGAACACGAGGAGACCAGATCTGGGGCTCCCAGCTGGGCTCTCCTGGAGGTTTCGGCGCGCGAGGGGCCGCGGCCACTCCCCACGCGCTCCGCCTCCCCCCCCCCGCCGGCCTCCCCAGCCGCAGCCAGCAGGCCGTTGCTGCTCCCCACAGCTCGCCCTCCCCCTGACCTCTGCCCTCCTTGGGTTTTGCAGGATGCCTACTCAGAGATTGCCTACCTCTTCGCCGAGTTCTTCCGCGACCTGGACATCGTCCCCTCCGACATCATCGCGGGGCTGGTGCTCCTGCGGCAGAGGCAACGGGCCAAGCGCAGCGCCGTGCTGGACGAGGTGGGGGGGCACAACAAAGGGGGGCATCTCCCACACCCCTGGCTGCTCTGGGAGAAGGGCAGGACTCTACCCATCTCCTTTCTGCTCTAGGAGGGGCCGTTGCCAGGCACAGAACTGGAAAATAAAAATGAGCGATTTCTTTCGCGGCTTTTCTTCCGAGGCTCCCAAAGCCTCCTACTGACTCCTGGAACCTGGGGTCTTTTCTAGAGGTTTAGCTCTCCACTCTAAAAAAGCAACTGCCCTGAAGGAGGTGGGAGGTGCCTTGCAGGCAACTGGAGGATTATCCCTCTCGTGAGATGTGGAGAAGGCTCCAACAGCTGGGTAAAGCTGCGGGGGGAACTGGAGGGGAAAAAATCTGGACGTTCCCAAGCTGGTATTGCATCCAGATTTGGGGATGTTCAACCCAGTAGAAACCCCAGAAAAGAGTAAAAACCCCCCCAGAGGTGGGGTTCAGGCCAGCAGTGGTTGGGCAGAAATAAGAACAGCAGAATTTGGAACCAGTTGAGGAGGCTTGGGATAACCTGGGACAAGATACTTTCAAGTATATAACGCTTTCTGCTTCTCAGGTGTAGGTTTTTGTCACAGAGAAGAATTTTTATCTGTGTTTGTGACTTCCAGGCCAACAATGACATTTTAGCTTTTCTGTCTGGGATGCCAGTGACCAGGAACACGAAGTATCTGGATCTGAAGAACGCGGTAAGTCCCTGGGTTGTGACCTTGTAAACTCCCCACACTTCCCCTGCAGCCTGTTTCCTTTTTCTCAGTGGTTTCTCTTACTCCTTTCTGCCCTTCTGGAACAGTCAAAGAGATGAAAAGATTAGTACAACAGATTATCACCCCACCCCTTGCTCTCTGGAGGCTTTTTGTCTTCAGATGACTCCTGGAGCTTTCTGTGGGGAGTTGGTAGTGTTGCCACTTGGCTGGGGGAAGGCAACGTGAGGTTTCTCCAAAGGCAGAGGTAGGAGTGGAGAGCTGCATCCAAGAGCATCGTGGAGACCTCCATATGGAAGCACCACCAGCAGAGCTCCTGGAGCCCAGCAGGCAGGGTGCTGAGATGGAGCCTTCCTCCCTGGGGCTGTCAGCACTTCTCAGGGTGGAAGCAGCTCCATTCTGTACCAGTTGAGCTTGGCTTTTCTTCTGGCATGCTGAGAGTACATCCCTTCATCAGGCAAACTCTGGACCCCATCCCAGCATCCCTGGGATCACAGAGGTTCCTTGAGGAACCTGCTCGTGGCTGAGCTGGGCTCAGGGGTGGCATCCTGCTCACACTCAGCCCAGCCCCTTTGGAGTCAGGGGGTGTGGGGAGAGATGTCAGCAGAGCTTGGAGAAGGCAGCACTGAGGTGTGTGGCCCCTGCCTGGCTTCATGTCCTCTCTGGGCTTCTTACTGTGGAAATAGTTTATTTAGAGAGCTCATCTCCTTAAAACTTCAATTAGTTTATCTTGGGGTTGTTGGGCTTGGAGAGGAGAAGGCTCTGGGGAGACCTTCTGGGGGCCTTTCAGTGCTTCAAGGGGCCTGGCAGAAAGCTGGGGAGGGACTTTGGAGCAGGGGCTGTTGGGACAGGACAAGGGGGGATGGTTTGAAGCTCCAAGAGGGAGATGGAGACTGGAGAGAAGGGAGAAATGTTGGATGCTGAGGGGGGTGAGCCCCTGGCCCAGGCTGCCCAGAGAGGTGGTGGCTGCCCCATCCCTGGCACCATCCCAGGGGAGGTTGGATGGAGCTCTGAGCACCCTGCTCTAGCTGGGGATGTCCCTGCTCCCTGCAGGGGACTAGATGCCCTTGAAAGGTCCCTTCCCACCCAAACCAGCCTGTGATTTTGTCTTCTCCTCATCTAGGACAGAGCTGGACAAAAACCACCAGGGAATGAGCTTCCTTTGCAGCAGAGTGTTTAGTACACAGGGGAGGATTTCTCTAGAGCTAACTTCTAGTTGGGTAAAGCAGCTGCCAGGGCTCAGGAGAAGCTCAGGAAAGCAAGCAGTGCTTTCACCACCACGCTGAGCAGTTCCTGGGGTGGGCAGGATCTCCCCCAGCAGAACCAGCTTGCTCTGCAGTCAGCTGGAAGAGCTGGAAGTGCTGCCAGGGCTGAGGGAGAAGGCTGATGCTTGGAAGGGTCGCAGGGGTCTGACGGTGATGGGAAAAAAGAGGGAAACAGGAGCAAAACTCACTGTCTCAAGGAGAAGGCCTTCAGGGGGTTCTTGTGTCTTTCAGCAAGAGATGCAGCGGTACAAAGAGGTGTGTTACTACATGCTGTTTGCCCTGGCTGCCTATGGCTGGCCCATATACCTGATGAGGAAGCCCACATGTGGACTCTGTCGCCTGGCCAGATCCTGCTCGTGAGTGGCCACCCTGTCCCATCACTCTGCCTTCTCCTTTTCCCTTCTGTTTTTTTTTCCCCCAGATTTAATATTACCCATTCTTCCATCGCTTTGCTCTCTCCATCACCTCTCTGTTTCTTCCTCTCTTCTGTTTTTTGGTCTCTTTCCACCTCTCAGTAACTCTCTGCCTTCACCCCCCCCAACATCTTTCTTCTCCATCTCCTCCTTAGGGTTGCTTATCTGCTCACCTAGTTAAACAAAGCAGCCTGTCCTGTGCTCTGTCCTCTCTGGTGCCCTAAGGATCCTGCCAGTCCTGTGTGGTTTGAAAACACCCCTGGCACCACTCTGCCTTCACACTGAGTCCAAAGAACCCTCTGGGAGCTCAGAAATCAGCTTTATTGACAAACCCAGATATGCAGGGAGTTGACTCTTGGGGTCTTTATTAAAGCTTGGGCAAAACTTGGCTGGAGTTTGGGCTGTTCTCTGAGAAATTGGGGTTTTTCTGCCAGGCTGAGTGGTGCTCACCTCATGGTAACGATGCTGCAGTTCAGCTCAGGATCACGTTTTAGGTGTTTGCTTTCAGCCTCTGGGATGCTGTCACCAGATTCTCCTTGGGGTTGAGCTTTTTTTCCCCACTTATTCAGGCAGCTGCTGTGCTGAACTTCTCAGGAGGAAGATTCTTCCTTCTGAGTACTTCTCTTGGTGAAGTCTCATAAGGGAAAGAAGGGGGGGGGGGAAATCGTGCTTGTTTTTTTTTTGTTCTGGGATGATTCTAGAGCCGTTTTCTTTTTTTTTGTTATAAATAGCTGTAGCTGTCAGGAGATGCTGTTTTCTGTGTGGAAGAGATGTAGGGCTGCCTGGGAAGCAGCACAGCATCCCTGGAGGAGAGATCCCAGCCCCACCACGCCTCGGTTCCTGGGGGGATTGGTAGCGCTGGAGCTCTCTCTGGTGCTCAGAAGCAAAACTACATCTCCTCCCAAGGCCCCTTTTCTGATGCTGAAAGGCCACGTCGTGTCCTGCTTCCCACAGAACCTCCTCCAAACGAAGGAAATCCCTCCTGCGGAACCCAACGTTGACCCGCGGGGTCTAAACCAACCTCTTCCACGTTCCATTTCTCCTCTCAAAGGGGTTTTTCCTCTTCTGCAGGTGCTGCTGCCTGTGCCCCACGAGGCCCCGCTACGGGCCAGGGGTCACCATCGAGGAGGACAACTGCTGTGGCTGCAATGCCATCGCCACCCGCCGCCACTTCCTGGATGAGAACATGACCTCGGTGGACATCGTTTACACCTCCTGCCACGATGCTGTAAGGAGAACCTTCTAACTCCCCCTTCTTCTCTGGCAATTCTTCTCTAAAGCCCTTCCCGAGGGGATTTAACTGCTTCTCACTGTGGTGGGACAAAGGAGGAGGCTTCTAAAGGCTTTTTCTGACCTTAGAGCTTGCCATCTTTTTCTCGCCACGAAGGAATTCTCCTGTTTGGATAGAAATAGTTGGTGCTGCCCAAAATCTGAGCCTTCAGAGGAGTGCTTGCCCCCTAAGCTGTCACGCTGCTCTGCCTCCTCTTCCCTGGGCAGGAGAAGAATTAAATGGGGGATATCTCATCTGATTGTGACAGGAGTGGATCTTTTCCAGGTTTATGAAACACCTTTCTATGTGGCTGTGGACCACGAGAAGAAGAAGGTGGTCATTAGTATCCGAGGAACTCTGTCTCCAAAAGTAAGTGTGTGCTGTGAGGTGGCTGAAAATACCCTTGGCCACCTTGGCAGATGTTCAGGAGACTCTTGAGACCTTCCCAACTTGCTTGAAGCATGATGACTCCTTTTCTTCTAGGATGCCCTGACTGACCTAACTGGGGATGCAGAGCGCCTTCCAGTTGAGGGTCACCATGGAACGTGGCTGGGCCACAAGGTGAGGAAAAGAAGAGAAAACAAACCCCACCACTGCTTTTTCCAGTGTTTTGACTTTTTAATTATACACACACACACAAAAAAAGTGGTCTTAATTGCTGGAGGGGCTTTTAAGAAGGGTGTTACATAATGGCAGCGAAATGGCTTTGAGATATTAAAGTCAAATCCTCGGGGTAACGGTTAAAATCACCCTGTCTGTAATTAAACCCATCCAATTAGGAGAAACCAAAGCATAAAAAGCATCTGTGGAGGGCCTGGAATAAAATGATGGGAGTCATTCAAATGACTTTCTCTTCCAGTGACCTTTCCAGAGTTTGCAATCAAACCCTGAGAACACGTTGGAAAATTCTGTTGCGCCGGAGCTCGCACGAGGCTCCTGGCAGGAGCTCTGCCCGTGGCATTGGACTGATGTTCTGTGTCTGTGGTCCTGAGCAGGGCTGCAAGGACTCAATCAATGGACTGGAGAGCTGACCTTTGCCCCAGTCCAGCAGAGAAATGCCACCCGTGCTGAGTTTTGAGATGATTGGGAATTTGGCAGCCTCTCAAGATGCGGTGCCAGGCTGGGAAAGACAAATACAAACTGGAGCTTGGGTGTGTTGGGTGGAAACGCTGCTGCTGCTGCTGCTCAGGGAGAGGATTATGGGCAGCAGGGCAGGGAGGGGATCCTGCCCCCCTAACCCTGCTCTGGGGAGACCCCCCTGCAGTGCTGGGGCAGCTCTGGAGTCCTCAGCACAGCAGAGCCAGGGAGCTGCTGGAGCGGGGCCCGAGGAGCCCCAGCAATGGCCCGAGGGGGGGACG